TGCACTTTTATGATGGACAGATGCTCTTTTATGATGGACACATGCTTGTATTGCGAATGAATGCACTTTTATGATGATAGATGCACTTTTATGATGGACAGATGCACTTTTATGATGATAGATGCACTTTTATGATGGACAGATGCATTTTTAATGATAGACAGATGCACTTTTATGATGAATAGATGCACTTTTATGATGATAGATGCACTTTTATGATGGACAGATGCACTTTTATGATGGACAGATGCACTTTTGTGATGATAGATGCACTTTTATGATGGACAGATGCACTTTTATGATGGACAGATGCACTTTTGTGATGATAGATGCACTTTTATGATGATAGATGCACTTTTATGATGGACAGATGCACTTTTATGATGGATAGATGCACTTTTATGGATGATAGATGCACTTTTATGATGGACAGATGCACTTTTGTGATGATAGATGCACTTTTATGATGATAGATGCACTTTTATGATGGATAGATGCACTTTTACGATGATAGATGCACTTTTATGATGGATAGATGCACTTTTATGATGATAGATGCACTTTTATGATAGATAGATACACTTTTATGATGGACAGATGCACTTTTATGATGGACACACGCATGTATTGCGAATGAATGCACTTTTATGATGGACAGATGCACTTTTATGATGGACACACGCATGTATTGCGAATGAATGCACTTTTATGATGGATAGATGCACTTTTATGATGGATAGATGCTCTTTTATGATGATAGATGCACTTTTATGATGATAGATGCACTTTTATGATGGATAGATGCACTTTTATGATGATAGATGCACTTTTATGATGGACAGATGCACTTTTATGATGGATAGATGCACTTTTATGATGATAGATGCACTTTTATGATGATAGATGCACTTTTATGATGGACAGATGCACTTTTATGATGGATAGATGCTCTTTTATGATGATAGATGCACTTTTATGATGATAGATGCACTTTTATGATGGATAGATGCACTTTTATGATGATAGATGCACTTTTATGATGGACAGATGCACTTTTATGATGGATAGATGCACTTTTATGATGATAGATGCACTTTTATGATGGATAGATGCACTTTTATGATGATAGATGCACTTTTATGATGGACAGATGCACTTTTATGATGATAGATGCACTTTTATGATGGACAGATGCACTTTTATGATGAACATATGCACTTTTATGATGGACAGATGCACTTTTATGATGATAGATGCACTTTTGTGATGATAGATGCACTTTTATGATAACAGATGCACTTTTATGATGGACACACGCATGTATTGCGAATGAATGCACTTTTATGATGGATAGATGCACTTTTATGATGGACAGATGCACTTTTATGATGGATAGATGCACTTTTATGATAGATAGATGCACTTTTATGATGGACAGATGCACTTTTGTGATGATAGATGCACTTTTATGATGATAGATGCACTTTTATGATAGATAGATACACTTTTATGATGGACAGATGCACTTTTATGATGGACACACGCATGTATTGCGAATGAATGCACTTTTATGATGGATAGATGCACTTTTATGATGGACAGATGCACTTTTGTGATGATAGATGCACTTTTATGATGATAGATAGATGCACTTTTATGATGGACAGATGCACTTTTATGATGAACATATGCACTTTTATGATGGACAGATGCACTTTTATGATGATAGATGCACTTTTATGATGGATAGATGGACTTTTATGATGATAGATGCACTTTTATGATAGATAGATGCACTTTTATGATGGATAGATGCTCTTTTATGATGGACAGATGCACTTTTATGATGGATAGATGCACTTTTATGATGATAGATGCACTTTTATGATGATAGATGCACTTTTATGATGGATAGATGCACTTTTATGATGATAGATGCACTTTTATGATGGATAGATGCACTTTTATGATGATAGATGCACTTTTATGATAGACAGATGCACTTTTATGGATGATAGATGCACGTTTATGATAGATAGATGCACTTTTATAATGGACAGATGCACTTTTGTGATGATAGATGCACTTTTATAATGATAGATGCACTTTTATGATGATAGATGCACTTTTATGATGGATAGATGCACTTTTATGATGATAGATGCACTTTTATGATAGATACACTTTTATGATGGACAGATGCACTTTTATGATGGACACACTTTTATGATGGATAGATGCTCTTTTATGATGGACAGATGCACTTTTATGATGGATAGATGCACTTTTATGATGATAGATGGACTTTTATGATAGAGATAGATGCACTTTTATGATGGATAGATGCTCTTTTATGATGGACAGATGCATGTATTGCGAATGAATGCACTTTTATGATGGATAGATGCTCTTTTATGATGGACAGATGCACTTTTATGATGGATAGATGCACTTTTATGATGATAGAGGCACTTTTATGATGATAGATGCACTTTTATGATAGAGATAGATGCACTTTTATGATGGATAGATGCTCTTTTATGATGGACAGATGCATGTATTGCGAATGAATGCACTTTTATGATGGATAGATGCTCTTTTATGATGGACAGATGCACTTTTATGATGGATAGATGCACTTTTATGATGATAGAGGCACTTTTATGATGATAGATGCACTTTTATGATGATAGATGCACTTTTATGATGGATAGTTGCACTTTTATGATGATAGATGCACTTTTATGATGGACAGATGCACTTTTATGATGATAGATGCACTTTTATGATGGATAGATGCACTTTTATGATGATAGATGCACTTTTATGATGGATAGATGCACTTTTATGATAGATAGATGCACTTTTATGATGATAGATGCACTTTTATGATGATAGATGCACTTTTATGATGGACAGATGCACTTTTATGATGGACAGATGCACTTTTGTGATGATAGATGCACTTTTATGATGATAGATGCACTTTTATGATGATAGATGCACTTTTATGATGGACAGATGCACTTTTATGATGGACAGATGCATTTTTATGATGGATAGATGCACTTTTGTGATGATAGATGCACTTTTATGATGATAGATGCACTTTTATGATAGATAGATGCACTTTTATGATGGACAGATGCACTTTTGTGATGGATAGATACACTTTTATTATGATAGATGGACTTTTATGATGGATAGATGCACTTTTATGATAGATAGATGCACTTTTATGATGGATATATGCTCTTTTATGATGGACAGATGCACTTTTATGATGGATAGATGCACTTTTATGATGATAGATGGACTTTTATGATGGATAGATGCACTTTTATGATAGATAGATGCACTTTTATGATGGATAGATGCACTTTTATGATGGACAGAAGCACTTTTATGATGGATAGATGCACTTTTATGATGGACACACGCATGTATTGCGAATGAATGCACTTTTATGATGGATAGATGCACTTTTATGATGGACAGATGCACTTTTATGATGGATAGATGCACTTTTATGATAGATAGATGCACTTTTATGATGGACAGATGCACTTTTGTGATGATAGATGCACTTTTATGATGATAGATGCACTTTTGTGATGATAGATGCACTTTTATGATGATAGATCCACTTTTATGATAGATAGATATACTTTTATGATGGACAGATGCACTTTTATGATGGACACACGCATGTATTGCGAATGAATGCACTTTTATGATGGATAGATGCACTTTTATGATAGATAGATGCACTTTTATGATGGACAGATGCACTTTTGTGATGATAGATGCACTTTTATGATGATAGATGCACTTTTATGATAGATAGATACACTTTTATGATGGACAGATGCACTTTTATGATGGACACACGCATGTATTGCGAATGAATGCACTTTTATGATGGATAGATGCACTTTTATGATGGATAGATGCTCTTTTATGATGATAGATGCACTTTTATGATGATAGATGCACTTTTATGATGGATAGATGCACTTTTATGATGATAGATGCACTTTTATGATGGATAGATGCACTTTTATGATGGATAGATGCTCTTTTATGATGGACAGATTCACTTTTATGATGGATAGATGCACTTTTATGATGATAGATGCACTTTTATGATGGACAGATGCACTTTTATGATGGATAGATGCACTTTTATGATGGATAGATGCACTTTTATGATGGACAGATGCACTTTTATGATGATAGATGCACTTTTATGATGGATAGATGCACTTTTATGATGGATAGATGCACTTTTATGATGGACAGATGCACTTTTGTGATGATAGATGCACTTTTATGATGATAGATGCACTTTTATGATGGATAGATGCACTTTTATGATGATAGATGCACTTTTATGATGGAAAGATGCACTTTTATGATTGATAGATGCACTTTTATGATGGATAGATAAACTTTTATGATGATAGATGCACTTTTATGATGGACTTTATGCTGGATAGATGCACTTTTATGATGATAGATGCACTTTTATGATGATAGATGCACTTTTATGATGGATAGATGCACTTTTATGATGGATAGATGCACTTTTATGACAGATAGATGCACTTTTATGATGGATAGATGCACTTTTATGATGGATAGATGCACTTTTATGACAGATAGATGCACTTTTATGATGATAGATGCACTTTTATGATGGACAGATGCAATTTTATGATGACAGATGCACTTTTATCATGGACAGACGCACTTTTATGATGATAGATGCACTTTTTTTGACATTTTTTAATATAACTCAGATTGTAATTATTTTCGTGTCAAAATGTTCATTTTTGGGAGAACTTTCCCTTTACTCATCTGGTCATGTCACAGTCATCATACTCACCTCATCACAGTCATGGAAAGCTGTTTTTTTTTTATTTTATTTTTTTTTTTTTACAAAAGAATAACAGTGGATCAGTTACATTTATCTGATTTGAGCAGGAAGCACACAGTCACCGGTTGTTGAATGGTTTTATTTCATATATATTGTTTTAGGGGGGAAATGTTCTAAACATAGACATGCTGCATCACTGAACAGCTCCAGATGATCGAGTCTGAGGGAGATTATGTGAACAATACAGAAACAAGGGAAATTCAGTAGTATTCAGATTTAGGGAACAGATGTGCATTTCTCACTACTGTTAATTTAATGAACACAGGTGATCTAAAAAAAAGTGTCATCGTGTCTTCAAGCCTTGCTCTTTTTCAGTCATGTGAAAATACACAGATTATTTTATGACTGTCATGTAAACCCTGACAAACACATCATGTGTGCATATTATATACACACACATGTACAGGAGCTTGACAAAACAACATAAACAACAGATATATTAATATAAAGAGCCTAATAAGTATTCCCTTTCCCTTCAGTCATTCTGAACAGTGTTAGAGGGAAACTGCACCGTAAAACATACACAAATGTTTCAACAACACATTACAAGTGAGATTCCCATTGTAGTGAAGGATAGTCTGTGCCATTACATTATCACATTATTATTCAGGTAAACACATTTAAACTTATTCAGCAATATTCTCTTCATGTGTTGCTCCAGTCATGACAGTAGTTGGCCAATAAGAAACAAAGTGACCGTACAAGAAGGAAGTTCATGCTAACGTGTGGTAAAGCATCCCTCTTCTGAGAATGCAAAATGTAAAGTATTGTCCTGTGTTAAGAAACTGCTCTCTCACAGACACGTCACATGCAACAACTGTATCTGATTCACATGGAGTATCTTTGAGCAATGCTTTGACCTTCAGTAAATGGGGATGAGATGTCATGACAGCTATTTGATTTGATCCTGTTGTCCATGACATCCTGACATTCTAATGTGTATCTAATGTCACAGGCCAACTGTCCCAGTTTCACTATGGTTCACATTTTCCATTGAGACTTTTGACAATAAATCTTAGCCTGAAAACCTCCACCAACGCATTGATTCGCTACTTTGAAATTTAGAGACAACTAGTAAATCACAATAATGGGGTCGACAATTAATTATATTTCGATTTTTTGACATATGAATGTTAATTGTTCTATAAAACATACACGCAAAATATGTTTCAGAACTAAAAAGTGATGAGACAGCAGGACAAACTAAAATGTCTACATAAACAAGCTATATTGATGCCTTTGACTGTGGGTTATGCATAGACACGCACACATACATTAATATCACGGGTGGTGTGTGTACCACAGTTTGAGAATTACTGGTGTGCTAATGCTAATGTTGTCTATCTCAGACGATACAGCCAAAAGTATTGGCCAAATTGGCCATCAATTCATTGGCCATTGGTGAAGAAGAAGAAGAAGACTAAAGATAAAATGGTTTTCCCTTGGTGTTCGGACCCTAATAATAACAGCATACTCAGTTTTGCAAACCACACCTGAATTCACTTTAAGAGCCACTCCAGCAATTCATGATGTGTAATTTACATCTTTGCATTCTCAGAGGATAACTTTTATTAACCGCAACATAGTATTTGGCTCTTGTACCTTGTATAACAAGGGGAGGAGGGTGAAATTTTGGACCAAGCAATCAACCAAATGTCCACACTTGGTTTTGTGAAAACAGCCTAATACTGAACTGTATCATATCAGTTTATAGGACTCTGCATGCATAACTATAAAACAAATCATAGTTATTCTCTACAGCTCAGTGTCCCTTTTAGAAGGTTACATCACAGTCTAAGCAGCAAACAACAACAACACAAAACACTTTCATTTGAAAAGAACACAACTGGTTAACAACATTATCACTCTCATAGGAAAAGAAAACCATCTGAAGAATGAACTCTTACCACAGTTCTCTGATCTCAGTCATCACATACTGCGGATGTCACTCTTTTCAGTGTCCTAAAAGGATAGTTCACCCAAAAATAAAAATCCGTCATCAATTACTCTCTCACTTAATTTCAAACCCGTAAGACTTTGGTTCCAGCCTGGATGCCAGCCGAACTTAGCCCCGCCCACAACATTTGAGGATGGGAAGTTCGGTCTGGACTTGATCCGTTGAGAAGCAACCAAAGCTGTTTAGACCAATCAAATTGTCAGGGCGGGCTTTATGCTATGATGGACAGATGATCCACGTAAACCAAAGAGCGCTTGATTTGCACCAAAAATTTGATTACGACAAAGAATGGCCACTGCTGGAAAATTGAGATGTGTAGACAGTGCATTTTAAAAGAAGAACTGAGAACCTTCAAGGCATTTGCCAATCGGAAAGATGTTTTTGCCGTCCTTCCTATGGGATTTGGCCTATCCAATTGAGTGCAGAGGCATTTTTTCCTCGTTGGGTTGAAACACCTGATCATCACAGACCAATGGAGCGGAATAAGACTCACATTCTGACTAGACTGAGCATGACAACATCAGGCTAATTTTGTTCATCTTCTGAACACAAATTAATATATCTTTTGACGCTTCAATCTTCAACGATTGTAAAACTAAACCCGTAAGACTTTGCCAGCCGAACTTGAAAGCCTTACGGGTTTGGAGCAACATGAGGATGAGTAATTGATGACATTTTTTGAGTTACTACTCCCAAAACTATATTAACACAACTATTATTAACATGTCCTCACTTCCTCACTCTGTCATCTCAATTTAGTTATTCCCGCTGGTATCTGTCCAGCAGTAGTAGAAGGTTAATCGTATAACAGCGTGTAAAACAGCAGAGATCAAAACATTTGAAATCATACGCAACTCCAGTGGCAAATGCAAGAACCTTGATAATTAAAAATACAGCCCATTTTGCTAAGATTTCATAGAATTGAGTGAGATTTGATCTCATTAGTTCACAGAAGAAAGCTTTAGATTTGTCACAGCATGTTGCTTCAGTGATTCATACACAGACAACTCGCATTCAAAATAACAACTTTGACCAAAGAACTGTATCCTGTTCTCATAGAATAAGATGTCCAGCTTTTACTGCAGTGGAGACAGACCTGTAACTTACAGAGCCTGATATAACTACAGGGTGAATCTGAATCCAAAGCAAAATACATAATCATTTGAGAGCATCAGGCTGCTTTTAAAATACTGTTGGACTTAAAAGCTGTTAATGCTTTTAATAGAGAAACTGCATGAATATTTTTCCAGTACACCAACTCAAAATAACCACAACTATTGATAATGCAAAGAGTTGTCCTGTTTTAACATCCGTGATTATTGACGTTGTCCCTAACTGTAGTCCGTATTCACTTCAGAGATTTTTCTTCCAGTTCAGGAGCTTGCACCACTTTTCCATTCACCCTTTCCCAGTCTCCTCCTCTACCAAAGCTGTCTTCCTGTGTATGTGGGAGGGGCGGATGGAACCTGTGGAAGAAAAAAAAAAGAAACAAAATTAGCCATTAAGAAGCTGGCATGTTCACAGTTGACATTTACATTAGACGAGTGGTGTTTCAAAAGTGGGAAAAACACCTCTCAATTAGACAAGTCACCTTCATATATATAGTTAAAAAACAATATAGATTGTTTCAAAGCAGCTTTACAGTGACGGTATGTATATAGAACAGTATGTATACATAGACCTCCCACAGACGATATTTATATAGAAGTTTTTAGTTTTCAGATAATGACGTTTATGCGTGGTTTGTGAAAAAACAAAAACAAAATGTCACTGAACGAGATTTTGACACTCGGGCCCTTAAGAGAGCAGAGTGTAGCTGGAAGAAAACTAGAGGTATTCCGGATTTCATGGAAGGAGAGCTCGATTGCTTACAGAGAGGCCTTAAAAACTGCTAGATCTGCTTATTTTTCAAACCTATTAGAACAAAATAAACATAATCCTGTATCTATTTGAAACAGTGGCTAAACTAACGAAAAAGAAAGCTTCAAGCCCAGAAGTGTCCAAGCAACACAGCAGTAATGACTTTATGAAATTCTTGAATAATAATGACTCTATGAATAAGATTGATAATATCAGGGACAAAATTATAACTATGCAACTGTCTACCACAGTAGCGCATCAGAGGGTGCACTGTTGTCTCCCTGAGGAAAGATTTGTCTCATTTGCTGCTATATGAGAGGAAGAATTTTGCAAACTTGTTAATTCATCTAAATCAACAACTTGTATGTTAGACCCTAAACTACTGAAAGAGATGCTTCCAGAGGTCAGAGATCCTCTTCTCAATATCATTAATTCGTCTTTGTTGCTAGGATACGTACCAAAAACCTTTAAGCTAGCTATGATAAAACCGCTTGTTAAAAAAAACGCAACGTGAATTAGTTGTTTATGCGCGGCTATTTCTATTTCTCAGGCCAATCTCGAATCTGCCTTTTCTGTCAAAGACACTGGAAAAAGCAGTATCCTCACAACTGTGTTCCTTTGTTGAAAGAAATGATATCTGTGAGGATTTTCAGTCCGGATTTAGACCACATCATAGTACCGAGACAGCTCTCATTAGAGTCACAAATGATCTGCTCTTATCGTCCGATCGTGGTTGTATCTCTATCTTTGTGCTGCATTCGTCACAATTGACCACAACATTCTTTTAAAGAAAACTATGTTGGCATTTGTGGAACTGCATTAGCACGGTTTAAATCATCCTTATCTGACCGTTATCAGTTTGTAGCAGTAAATGAAGAGATGTCTTATCGATCTCTAATGAGATTATCTCTAATGAGTTCAATATGGCGTACCACAAGGCTCAGTACTAGAACCGCTGCTATTCACCCTGTACATGCTACAGTACCATTAGGAGATATCATTAGGAAACATGGAATTAGCTTTCACTGTTATGCTGATGATACCCAGCTGTATATTTCTTCAAAACCTAATGAAACTTACCAATTCACAAAATTAACATTGCTGATGTTGCTGATATAAAAAATTGGATGACTAGTAATTTCCTACTTCTAAATTCTGAAAAAACAGCGATTCTAATTATTGGACAAAACCTCCACACGTAACAGCCTAGAATACTGTCTACCACTTGATGGCTGCTCTGTTAAGTCTTCGTTGTCGGTTAAGAACCTGGGTGTGCTCTTTGATACCAATCTCTCATTTGAATGTCATGTGTCTAGTATCTGTAGAATACTGGGAGGTTGCCCTGCACGTTTAATAAACAAACTTCAGCTAGTCCAAAACGCAGCCGCTCGAGTTCTTACCAGAACCAGGAAGTATGACCATATTAGCCCGGTTCTGTCAACCCTGCATTGGCTGCCTGCAGTACTTGAGCGAGCTCTTAACGCATTATAGTCCTTCACAACTATTGCGATCTCTAAACTCCGGCCAGTTGATAATACCTAGAATATCAAAATCGACTGCTGGTGGTAGATCCTTTTCCTATTTAGCACCAAAACTCTGGAACGATCTTCCAAACATTGTCCGGGAAGCAGACACACTCTGTCAGTTCAAATCTAGACTAAAAACACATCTCTTTGGCCTAGCCAGTGCTCGAATTGAGGGGGGGCTGGGGGGATCCGGGACCCCCCTAAAAGGTATTAGGGACACCCCATAAGAAGTAAAAAATAGAATTAGGGGGGTCCCTCAGATATTTTTATTTTAGTGAAAAATAATAATAACAAATCTGATTAAATGCATGCAATGGATATGGTAAATTTCGTGAATTGATTATTTACAATATATTTCTTTTAAGTTGGCTAGTTGCCATGTCGCTTTAAAATGTAAACGTCCGCCCCACATCTAAAGAGTGCTGTGCGCATGACATCGTTGACTGACAGGACTGTTTGATTGGCGCCGCTCCGTTGAAGCTAATTATAACTTTTAAAAATGGAGAAAGATAAACCTCGACTCGAGGTCGGGAAGAGAAAGCTTCTTACCGACTTTTTTGAGGGGTAATTGTCTCTCTTTATATATCTTTCTAGTACTTTATATCTACCCACACCATCGGGGCTTCTGTACTCCTTGCGTAAATTCGAAACATTTAGGCTTAAGTTACTTTTTTCCCCATTATTAATAGCCCTGGTTCTACAGGAGTGCTATCTCGATGGAGATGGATAACAGTTTTTCAGCAAAGGGAGCGATCGTTGTGTGCTTTCTAATTTCCATTCAGAATTTGTGTAAAACTTGTTTTTTATGCTGCCAGGATCGGCCACGTAAACACAAAGTTTTGGGAATTACATATGCATATTACATATGAATTATGTGGGATTCACTCTTAAAATAGCAATAATTGACATCGATTGGCATTGCCTTGTTTGTTTCTGAATAAAGCAGCCTTTTTCACTGAAATCATGGTCGTTGAATAGTTGCTGACCTACTGAGTGCAATTTCCGCCACCTACTGGACGTAACTATGTAAAAATCGCATGTGCTGAAATAGTTGAAAAATCCCCACCATATAATATCTAATAAACAAGTTTCATCTATTTAATCAAGTCTTTTGGAACAAACATTGTTACCACAGTGTCAAATAATTCACATTAATCATCCAGTTGTTTTTAGGTTAAAAACAACATTTGTAAATAAATCATTCTGTTGGATGTACACAACTGTTCAAAAGTCTCTTCTGCTCACCAAGCTTGCATTGATTTGATGCAAAATACAGTAAAAACAGTAATTTTATGAAATATTATTACAGTTTAAAATAATAATATAATAAAATATTGTTTATTTCTGTGATCAACGCTGAAAACCGTCGTTTCTCCAGTCTTCATCATGATCCTTTAGATCTGAAATATAAACTTTTGCAGCATTATACACTACCATTTAAAAGCTTGCGGTCAGTAAGAATGTATTTTTAAAAAATGTTGGGAAATAATTTAATACTTTTATTCAGTATGGTTGCATTAAATTGATCAAAAGTAACAGTAAAGAAATTTATAATGTAACAAAAGATTCTATTTCAAATAGAAACTGTTCTTTTGAACTTTCTATTGATAAAAAATCCTGAAAAATAAAATAAATGTTTATTACATAGATGTTTGTTGATCATCAGATCATCGTATTACTATTAGAATGATTTCTGACAAATCATGTGGCATTGAAGTCTGGAGTAATGAAAAAATTAAAAATTTGTGAAAATTCTGCTGCCCTCTAAATCCAGTATTACTTTACAGTAATACTGTAATTGGGTCAATGACGTGAAAATTAATAAAATTATAACATGTATGTCTACCACCTCCCTTATACTTATGCCCACTCTTATTTCTTTAAAAATAATTGGTTTATTGGCATTTTCTGCCACCTGAAGTGTGAAAACATCATGTGGGGTGACCGTCCGGCCTTGACTTCTGTTTGGACAACTGGTTTTAAATCAAACTAAAATAATTTAAATATAATCCTTACCCTATTTGGCATAATTTTAAACTTGTTTTCCATTGATTGACAAAGTTATGAAACATTTGTACACACATTTCAATCATAATAAACAAACAAATCTTGTCCGAAGATGTTCATTATCTGAAATATCATCTGGGGCGACCATCAAGAAAATACAAATATAGGACTTATATTCTGATAATCATCTCAAAGAGGATGTTGCATCAGCCAGCCTCATGGTGAGGGTCCCACAGAGACAACTAGCAGGTGAGTTGTCACTCTCATTTTTACAAACAAATCCTCTTTAAAACTGCTGCAGTGTATACGTCACATTTTGATATCATGTGGGGCGACCAACCTAAAACTGTAAATTATAAGTTTTATACACAAATCTTTATTTTTAAATTTGTAAATTGTAAATTTGTCAGTGATATGTGGTGAGAAGAAGCTAACTTGGGCTATAGCTAAGCATTAGCCTGTTATACTTGATTAAACTTGAAAATATCATCTGGGGTGACCAAGCATCATGTGGGGCGACCGCCACTGATTGCTTAAATGATAGAAAACACATATAATGTATTTGTAGTTTCTGTATGCAAATGTTTACATTCATTATATGCATTTAGTTGTTTTAAATAACTTTTTACATTTCACCACATATTTTTTTGTAAATTTCAATAATTTCCCTCCTACTTCAGAGAGGACTAAGCTTACTTCTTTTTGATTATTAAGTTTTTTATCAAAGAAATGTGTGAATATTAAGCATTCATTATACTTTTTCCAATTCTTTTTCTAACTCTGTGTATGTTTAAATATACTTTTTTTTCTAGATGGCCCCACTAACAAGCAAAGAAAAGACTGCTCGCTACAGGCAGCGGAAAATTCTGTTCAATGTGTCTGCAGAATGCTGCTATGTTCAACTGTTAAATGAAAATAGTAATGAAAATGCAAACATTGTATGTTTAAATGATTAATGAAATGAAAATGAAAAAGGAAAATGCTGTTCAATGTTTTGTCCAAGCGTTTAATGCATTAGTATTGAAAATTTTTATATGATGGTTTTGTGTCAAATGAAATAGTGAGGAAACTGT